GGGCTCGAACCCGCGCCACACAGCGTAAGGTCCAGAAGCATTGACCATTCGACCCACGAGAATATCCACAACTACCAATAAATTCAGTATTTATAACATGAAGGAAAGGTCGTGTACACCAGACAGAAAAACGTTTTATTATGAAGATAGTAAAGCGTAAGTATTCAGTAATAGTCTGACTACCACTAATCCTAAATAAATGCACACTTGGAATAACAAAGATAAGAAGATACTGTTGTACTCTACTGAGATACTCACTGTATCTCGATTCCGCTCTTGGTTTGAAGCGTACACACCCGACCTCTGTGCGTTTACTAACGCCAGTTCTTAAAGTCAAAACTTCCTCTTCTTTTAAGTCCAAGACAATTCCGTTGCACTTGACAGTGCTTGTAGTCAATCACACGACCGAGTCTTGAAGAGACTGTGTCCTTTGCTAGGATGAAACATGATACTTAAACCAACTTCATAATGTTTGTGTCCATCGCTGGTAAGGGAACCAGGGAAGTTCTAACTGAACGGCCTGAGGAGGTAATTTGAATTGCCTGGAGGAGCTCATCGGCTCTGGAAATGTGTTGGTCGGACACAATTGGAAACTTCCCAACGGGGCACCGGTGAAAGATCAGCTAATACCCATCATGTGGCAACTAATGTTGATTATTGAGGCCCTTGAAGCAGATACAGAGAAATTCAATATTTCTGAAGGAGGAAAGTTAAGATGTTCATGATTTTGGCCATGCTCCAAACGAAGCGGCAGCGCTTCGGGAATGCGGTCTTTGAGATAGATGAGAATGGGCATTTAAGTGCAATACATTGCCAGTAAGGGCTCCCAACGTGGGACGAATTGGAATGACATCGTGGGTGTTTTTGCACCGTATCGCTAAGTTAATAGGATGCGCTCAAAGTTCTTGTCTACCCTTCAAGAAAGGCGAGAAGTGGCAGAATTTTTATTTCGAGGAGTTAGGATTATAATGCCCGCAATGACGTCTAATCCTCTCCTGGCGGTGGTGACGGTCCCCATATGCATGGAAATTATCTGAACGGGTGCGGCTCACACCAAGACCTTCCGTACCCACCCTTGTGACGTTGCACATTACAGGTTTAACGTTCCATGTCGCGACGGCTAGGCGAGGTGCAAGGAATTTGAGCTTTACAAGCTTTGTCGGAGGTAATGCACCCCAGCTACGCTGAGGAAGAAGAGTAGACCTCTTAGCTGCTGAAAAGCCCGCCGTGTCAGCATCTGCGATACAAATATCTCTGCCTTGTTTGCCCAATTTACTATCGGCTGAAAAGACAAAAATCGACCTCCTATGGAAAGGAGAACGTCGAGTCTTCATGGAAAGAGTTGTCAAGTCCATTTTAGCGCAGAGCAGCCTACTGAACGGTTGTACCTCATGAAGATCGTGGTCAATAGAATTCAGTCACAAAAAGAGCGACTCTTTCTAAGAGAGACGGGGCTCACAAGGCATGATTGCTCAGTGTTAACATTAACGTTACGAGCTTTGTGAAACCAGAAGACCGTCGTACAATCACGTCTGGGGAAATCATTTAACAGAACGTGGACACTGTGAAATGCTAAGAAGGGGTGCGAAATCCGTTGAGTCTTGTGACAGAGACAGTAGTAAAGTGTCAAAGAAAATGTCAAATTGTCAAGCGCAGTATGAAAACTTTGAGAGCGTGGAATGTTTTCCAGTCCTCGGCCTGGGATCGAGATACAACGACATCGCAGGTGTGGCGTAACTGGAACGCATGGAGCTATGGATTGAGACCCTAGACTGAAAGTCAAGATGGTTGAATGCCTAGGGGTTCTCAGCTGATGGAGCTTTTGACCCATGAACTCGCATCCACTAGGAAGCAAAGCGTTAGTGGCGATGACACGAAGCTGTGATAGCTTCTGTGCAGGTCATGGGATTTTCCAAAAATGAGAGCAACAAGATTTCTAATTTTCCCATCCACAACTTGGAAGGCATACGTGCTAGTGAGCCGCGGTCTCCATAGTGTACATCTGTAGAGAAGGAAAAGGACGACCGGTGGTAGTGGACGCCACCATTCTCATCGAGAAGTGTCGGCGGCAGACGATGTCAATTTGATCGATCGCCGTCCGGTGATTCGCAATGCGCTACGAGCTTTCGTAGACAAAGACCGCTCTGTCGAACATCTCTCCGAGGTCGCCTACCGATGTGCGGAAGACCTCGAGAGTCCTGAGCACTTTGTTAAGCAAGCCAACATAAAACAGGGTGGGCGCGCATCATTCTCGGAAGGTTCAGCGTATACGCTAGACCTCGCTTGGCAACAACCTTAAAAGGTCCAATAAGCCGTGGACGGAGCTTCGTTTGAAAGACAGCAGAAACTGCAGCTGTAGGGAGAATTTTACCACTTAATAAATCCAGGTATCAATGTTACAGCATTTCTTCGTCCTTTTCCGTCTGCATATCTCTTCTGCATGTCTTGGCTTTCGGTCATGGCATCACGAATGTGTCGTAAGACGCTCAGTCTGGTAGACAGGAAGTCTCCGACTTCTTTAAGCGCGGCGAGGGGGCTGACATATCCATGGGATGGCGGCGTCAGCGGGATGCAAGGATTAATAAGCCCGTTTACGTAGAACGGTGTATAGCCGGTAGATGAATGCATTGCATTGTTCAGAGTGGCAACATAGCGCCTTAGCGCTTCGGCGACTCGGCGCAGAGTCTTCAACGACGCATTTCCCACGCTCAGTCTGATCATCGGTCTGCGGATGGTCCGCTGTTGACATAGTCAACTTGGTGCTCAGTACCCTGAAGAGTGTAGACCAAAACTTCCCAGTAAAGCGCGGGTCTCTATCAGAGACAATTGACTCCGGGAGTCAATGGTGTCGAAAGGCACGATCGACAAACACCGGCACTGCCGCAAGATGAGTCATCTTTCTCAAAAAAAGTCCACAAAGATCACTCCACCCGTGTTAATGCCGAGTCCTTCGGCAGGCCAAACACAAACTCCATATCCATGGACTGCCAACACCCGGATGCGATATATCAAATCCTCACCGTGAGAATCCACAAATCTTGGCGTATCCATGATTCGGTTGTAAAATACAGCAACCCGTTACTCAGCGAATATCCATGTAACCGTGCGCGCAAACGCGCTGACAACTTCATGTTCGAGTTTTCAAATCCCCTTGCTCCCGAAAGCCTGTAGCAGCGCTACACACATAACACCACCCGCGTGTTCGGCGCGGATCAAATCCGTCACTGACGACGTTAGCGTCGTGACATGAGCAAGCTCATAGCCCGGTTTGCATGATAACGCATCAGCCAAAGCATTCTGCTTTCCTGGCTCCTACGTCCCATCGAGCTTATGTTCTGCAAAGAATAAGAGCCATCTGGTCATCCTATGCGAGAGGTGAGGCGACTGAGTGGCAGTGCGTCATGACGCATAATCTATGTAGATCGCAAACGGCTTTGAGCCAAGCAGGTGCACCTTGAACTGAACAAGTGCATTCTTCATCGCAAGTAATTCCTTGTCGTGTACTGGGTAGTTCCTCTCTGCAGCCTTGAGCTAGCGAGACTCGAACGCGATCACCCCATCTCGCCCCTCGGCGTCTGCTTGCAGCAGTGCACAGTCGATGGCAGAGTCCGAAGAGTCACAGATGACACTAAAATGACGATCTGGCAACGCCAGAAATGGTGCATGAAGGAGGCTGTCTCTGACTCTGTCAAAAGCCTCCTGATGCTCGGTGTCCCAACATCATTCCTTATCCTTCTTAAGGAGATTCGACAATGGCCGTGCCATTTCCGCTATACTTGTGCAAGTAGTTGGCGAGGCCAAGCCACTTGCGCACATTCTTTTGGTTCTTGAGAACCGGCCAGTCCACAATGGCATTTACATTAGCGGCGTCCGCTCGCAGGCCACGCTTCCCAATGTAGCACCCTAACGTCTGTGCATACGCCCGGTGGGGCCTGAACAATTGCGTCACAAGACGATCAAATGTTGCTGGTGCATTTGACAGCCCTTGGGGCGTCGCCAGCCACTCTTAAAGCATTCCGCTCGGAGTACTAACCGCAGTCAGCGGAATATCACTCGCTCTCACGAGCAATTGATAATAACCATCGACCCAAGTCGAGTGCCGTAATTTGTACAACCAATTATATTGTTCTGGAGAGTATCCTTTCTAGGAAGTGGCGTGAGTGCCGGAATGGTGGCAGCGTTTAGTTTATTATTAGTGTGAGCGACACGCCACTTGCCTTTTGGCTCCAGACTCAAAACGCGGTTGTCGAATGAGGATACATACCCTCACGCACCATTCCTGCCTCGTGCTTTGCACGAAAAAGGCGTCAAAAATGTCACACTGCTCCTTGGAAAGGGGTTACTGGCTTGTTACGCAGTATTTGGTTCCCGGAACCAGGTTTATCTCATGACGCGCACCTCGGTCCGGGGATGGGACCGGCGGCGGGTCTTTGGATACGATATCTTGGAATTTCTTTACCAAAAAGTGGTACGGATCCGAAGGATCCTTCAGGATCGACGATCCACTTTGTACGTTCAGCACCCTCTTGTTGTCCTCCAGAACAGCTTCGTCCAGAGGCGACGACGAGTTAATCTCCTCGTTCGGTCGTATAATGACCATCTCGGCTAATCCCGCCTGCCTTCAAGGCACCGCTGTATTCTTCGAAGGACATCTTGCCCAGCTCAAGAAGGGCATCCACCGCAGGAATAGCCTCGAGGATGACGTCGCCGTCTTCCTCCCCCGTCATACCGTTGGCGAGGGTGTATAGCTCCACGCTATCGTCTATGGTAGACACACCCTGGGTCGGGGTCAACTCCCTACGTCTTGCAGATATCATACGGATTCGCCGTCTCCTCTCTATAGAGATTAAACGTCTCATCGAAACCAGTAGGAACACCGTCTCGGCGTCGTCTAATGTTCCCACTTCCTACATCGTCGGGGTCTTGATGAAATTAACAACATCCGACGAAAAGCTGTTATTTCCGCAA